TTGAAAGTTGGTAAATCTGTGGGTATATTGGAGTTCTCTGAATTATTTTTGCAACTTCATTGTAGGTTTTTAATTAGTCCAAAATGAAAGGTTTTAAAAATCTCCAGACTAATGACAGCAGTCTTTGGAATGACACTGAGGCATTGGGATTTTGAAAAGCTTTTCAGACAGGGTTGCCAAATTTAGCAAAAAGCAGTACAGGAATTTCAGTTAAATTTGGATTTCAGAGAAACAACAATTTAAAATCATTTTTTAGTATAAGTATATCCCAGGCAGTATTTGCTACCTACCCAGCAAGTACCATCTTGGAATGCAATCCATTCTTTTTTTTTTTTTTTTGCAGTATAGTCAGTTTACAATGTTGTGTTCATTTCTGATGTACAGCACAATTCTTTACTTATACGTGAATATACATTTATTCATTTTCATATTCTTTTTCACCATAAGCTACTAAAAGATTTTGAATATATTTCCTTGTGCTGTGGAATGCAATCCATTCTGGTATCTATACTCTGCTGGTCTTTGTGGAACGTCAGAGAAATTAACTTGCTTTATCTGTCTTCAGTATCTAAAGTTATCTGTTTCTACTCTTCCAGAGATGGGCACTGAGACAAAAATAAATAGATATTAAATGGCCAGAGTTTATGATAATGAAAAGAAATATTTAATGACTCTAGCATCCTCTATAATAATGACAATGATGGTCCACATTTTTTAGTGTTGATTATGTATAGGGTAGCCAGCCTCTAAGGTGTCTCCCCCTTGATCAGATATTCACAGCTTTGTGTAGCTCCTCCCACATTGTACCAGAGTTGGCCTGTGTGACCAACAGCATACGGCTGAAGTGATGGTATGTCACTTCTGGACTGAGGTTTTAAAAGACAGTTAGGCTTTTCTCTTAGGTACATGCCCTCGCTCTGGGGGAAGAAGCCAGTTTCATGAAGAGGGCTACATGGTGAGGAGCTAAAGCCTTCAGCCTTCAGTCATGGGAGTGAGCTTGGTAGGTGATCTACAGCCTCGGATGAGTCTGAGGCTGCAGCTCTGCTGACATCTGATTTCAACTTCACGAGAGACCTTGAGCCAGAACTACGCAGCTAAGCTACGCAGATTCCCAATCCTCAGAAATTGTGAGAAGTAAATGTACATTGTTTTAAGCTGCTAAAATTTGGAGTAACTTGTTACACAGCAAAAGATAACAAATGTGTCAAGATACGATGTAATATACAGTATCATCTAAGTATACATGCTTCCCAAATCAATTCTTTGAAGCAGAAACTATTACTGTCCCCATTTTATAGGAAGGTACACTAAAGTGCAGAAAGGGCATGTTGCTTCACATCCCCCTACCAGGAAGCATAGGTGGATCTGTCTCCAAAGCCCTCATCCCTACTCGGGAGTTTCACAGCCTTCCATATGCTAGGTGCTGAACTTTATTGTTTCATTTTATTTAATTCTCTTGTCACAGAGTGAGATAGGGGAGATCATTCTAGAGAAAACCACTAGCCAACACTGGCAAAAAGCCCTCAAATTAACAAGACACTTGCTTCACACTTGGGCAGATTTTGTTTTCTTATCCCCAATTTAGAGATGAGCAAGCTAAGGCTCTGAGTGGAAAAGGGCTTTTCCCAAAGCCAGACAACCCCCACCTCTTTCCCCAAGCAGAGTGGAGGGCAGGTGGAGCTGGGGCTTGAGTCCTTCTACTCCTCTCTCCCCACCCTGCCAGGCGACTCCCTAATCTAACTAATGAGGGGCATGTTTTCTGAAGTTGCAGAAGGCCCTCCCCAACCCACAGCACGAATGTGTGTGTATTGTGTTTGGGCAGAGTGGGGAGGCTCACTGGGGTCTCTGGAAACTCCTTCATCCTTCATGTCCTCTTGCAAGGAAGAGGAAGGGAAAGCCTTCCCTTCTCACACCCCCCTCTTCCTTCCCCTGGGATGTGCTCCCACCTGGGAGAGAGAGGGGCTCAGGAATGCTGCCCTCTCTGGGAGGGCCAGACCTTTGACCTTTTATCTAATCGCACTGCTGGTTCTTTCCCTCCCTGGAAGTGACAGCCCTGTGACCACCCCCTCCCAATTCTGACTCTTCACGGCTGTTTTCTCTCCTCCCATACATTAGGATGCAGCAGCTACAAAGGACTGAGCTCTTTTCTTAATACATGAAAGTAGACCAATCAAACAACAAACAAACAAACAAGACAACCTTTGAACACAGCAAGAAAGATTGGGGTTGGAACTAAGAGAGGAGTTCCAAACTGTCCCCTGTAGCAGATGGTCAAGAGAGGCTATAGGTAGTATACACTTTCTTTAAGATCCTTCTAGAAAGTTTCTGTCTTGACCTGAAGTGGTACTGGGGACTGGCGTGAGCAAAAATGCCTGGGACTGTGACTGTGTTTGTGATGTGAAGGGGGTGGGGTGGAAAGCTGGAGGTTGTCCTTCTAGGAATCAGAATAGACCAGATGACTCAGCAAAGTTTGTCAGGGTTCCAGTCACCTCTGGTCTCCTCTTCAGAAGAAGAACAAAATCTGCCACCTGGTGTCAGAGAGATCAGAGAGGGATGTCTGCTTTCTGAGTCAGCCAGTGAGCCTGAAGACCAAGCGAATGTCTGAAACAAAGTCCTCGGCAGGGAGGCTGCAGCCAGCCTTCTGAGTCACCTTGGCCTGGCTTCGATGCTGGGCCTGGAATGTCTGTGGTGGCCCCGTGGGCCTAAGGGGAGTGGTGAGTCACCACGTGAACTGGAAGAACCAGCAAGCCCCAAGAGCTCTTCTCCTGTTCCAGTTCTTATCCTGGGACCTCGATTCAGACACCAGGAGGGTCTGGGAAGCAGGACCCTGCGTTCTCATGCAACAGAACCACCATCACTCCCTCCCCAAGCTGATTCCCTGACTTCCCTGACTCCTCAGACAGCCACAACCGGACAAACTTCACCTTCTGGATCCTCAGCTTCCAACCCATCCTGGCTGTCCTCTCTGATCTCTCATGTCCTAGAAATTCTCTGCAGTGGACTAAGTTTCTGTTCCCCCCTGAGCCTCACCTCCCCGCCCTAACCCCTGCACCACACTGGACTCTGCACACCAGGACGCTTGCCATCATGGCATCACCAGACTGGTTGCGTTGCCAGTGGGTTTATTGAACTATTTTGATTAAGTCCAGCAGGGCTTTCCGATCCCCAAAACTTCCTAAGGCCATCTTTCCCATTCCCTGACTTCCCAACATGCCCTGTGGGGGGCCTGTGGGCTTGCATGGGAGCTTGGCATCTTCTCTGATCTCCTTCCCTGGCCCTCCCCACATCTGTCCCTCCCCCAGGGCCCAGGCCACGTTCTCCCTAATCTGTCTGCTGCTGGCCATGAGAGCCAAAAATCAAAGGGAAACTGGGAGGAGGACTGGGGAGAGGACCCTACCAAGAGGGGGTGGGGTAGGGACCAAAAGTACAGCCAGTTTTCGGAGCAGCTCAACCCCAAACCAATCTCCACAGCACCAGGCAGGGGCTCAGGGCTGCCGGGACCCATCCCAGAACCTTCCTTGTCTCTGGTTTGGCATGAGACTTGGTGGTCCCAGGGAATGATGTCACCCTTTTTGGAGATGCTGTGCTTCCAGCAGGGAGGCCCAGGTTTCGACATAAACCCTTCTGAGTCCATTTACCAGACTGCTCAACTGGACGCAGGATCATAAGCAGTCCCCATATCCCCTTTGGAGGCCAAGTTGAAACTGATGTCTAATCTCTGCCCATTGATAGCTAGGAGATGGGATTTGGAGCGCTTGCCCAGAGAGAAGTTTTTCTCTCTGGTGAAAACTGGGCGGTGGGTGGGCGAGGTTTCTAGGAAGCCGAGGTGAGCAGCCCTCCCAGTCCAGTTACCTCTCATCCCACACAAGCACTTAATTTCATGCTGGAGCTGCTCCCAGGCTGGGGAATTCACCTGGAAAGGAAAGTGGCCTTTATTTAGACAGAGCAGGAGCGGGGCTGCTTATGGTTCAAAGTACCCAGGGCGAGTGGAGAAGGCAGAGCCTGGGCAGGAGGCCTCGGGGTCTGCCCAATGTGCGTCTGTGCTCTGCCCCTTCCAGCTCGAGAGCGCCTGTGGACAGAGCCATGCACTAAGTGCTCAGAGAGGGGCAAAGGGCGCCCCTCAAGGAGTTGCCAATCTGAGTTCCCACCCCTGACCTGGTCCCCTTGGTCTGATGAGGCATAGCTCGGCCTCAGGGGCCCCACTCTGATGGCAGAGACAGGAGCACATACTTCTTTCTTATAGGTGAGCAGGGTATCTGAGGAGAGAGGCTTGGGTTCCAGAAATCTTTCCAGTTAAACTCGTGGCTGGCCCACCTTCCTCTGAGTCCCCAGATGTAAATGTGCCTCTTTCCCACACTCTGTCCTGCCCTGAAGCAGGACAAAAGCTTGAGTGGATGTTCTCAGTTCACCAGCTACCACCAGGAAAACGCTATCTTTCATGTTCTCTCAACCCTCCACCCTCCCACTCTCCCACCCTTTCCCCAGCCAGTTGGACCTACCCCTAGATATCGAGATGGGGACACTGCCACTTAGACAAAGCCGCGGGCCACGGTGGCCCCACTCTCTCTAACCAGGACATCTAACGATCCATAGAACCTAATGTCTATGGGAGTGCCCCCTCCCCAGCTAGCGCCACACTACCTCAGCCTCCCTCACCAAGGGCACACTTTCCAACCAAGGGTACCCTTTCCAACCGAGGGCACTTCTAAAGGAAGTAGGGGAATCCTGGGGTCTGTGCCCAGTAGGGAGGAGTGGGATGAAGAAAGAGCGCACTTAAGTTACCCTACCCAAAGGCCAGCCCCAGACTGGAGATACACAAATGTTAATCACCCATTAACACAGTTCAGGTGGAAAGGGCAACTTTATTACGTGTAAAACGGACTTAATGTGGCGGGAGCTGTGGGCTTAATTTCTTGAGATAAGATGCTTTTAGGCTAATCAGGAGGTCTATGATGCCTGGATATAAAGGAGCTAGGGCAGACTTTCTTGAGACAGGCTCTGGAGGACCAGAAGGGAGAAGGAGGAGATCCCTGCCCTATCCTTCTTCTGGGAGAGCCAGGAAGGAAGCTTGGTAAGAGAGCAGCTGGGACAGGGGTGGATGTAGACGAGACACTGGGTGGGGTTGGGGAGGGGCAGTCCTCGGCACCCCTGAGACGTTCAGAAGCCTTACATCTCCCATTCTTTTCCTCTATATAGGAAATAAAAGCGGATCCTTGAAGGCCCAGGTGACTAAGGCAGGAAGACGAGGTCTTGCAGCCCACACAAATCTAGGTCTAGCTTTGGTTTTCAGGGCTTGGGAAGAAGGTTCCTTACTGCTCTTCAGCTCTGCAAAGACAGCCAGATGAAACGTGGCAAACCCTTGGGAGAAGGGTTGGACCTTCCCTGAGTCAAGATAGTCAAGGATGAGAAGGGGAGAGCAAGATGGGATCTTTGCAGTTTTCACTTGGGGCAGGAGGGCTGTGATGATTTAGGTGACAGCCGACTTGAAAGCTGGAAGGCTGGCCCGCTGTGAACTACAGAGGGCTCTGAGGGGAGAATCTTGCCAAACCACATGCCTGTGATGTCTAGCCTGGGAGCCGGCAAGGGGGGCTGTCCAGGCCCTTCACTGCTTTCTTCTGGCAGGAAAGCAACCCCAATGCCCTCCTCTCACCCTGCTCAGACGCCACTTAAGAAACAAAAAATAAAAAAGCAGGTTCACTCTTGGCCAGGCTCCATGTCCTTCTAGTTACTAACTCTAATGGCCAATACCCCTTCCATCCCCAGTGTTGCTCCAGCCTCTTCGTAAAGCTCCAACCCCCAGCGCACAGTGCTCCCCAGCTTTCGGACCCCGCATAGGCTCTGGGTCACCAGCATGAAGTGCTTCTGCCCCATCCTGGTCCTCTTCTCTCTTCTTTCAGGAAACAACCCTTAGACGATGGTGGCCATGAAGACCGTCTCTCTGCTGCTGGTGTCCCTGCTCCTGGCAGTGGGGCTAGGAGAGAGGGAAGAGGGTTCCTCCAGGTAGGGGTGAGAAAAAAGGTGTCAGATGTAGGGAAGAGGGCTGGGGGGATGACCGGGTTCTTGTTTTCAAGGGGGAGGCAAGAAAGGGAGGAATCCCAGGCCAAGAGGAAAGAAGCTTAAGGGAAAAAACCTGCTAGCAGTCTGAGTGCAGATGAGGATAGAATCGGAGAGTATTTTTTATGAGCTACTGTTGCAGCAGGAGAGACTGTGGTTAGATCTCTGGAAGGACTGCTCAACAGATGACAGCATCTCCCTTCCTAATGAAAGCCTTAACCATTCATTTCTGTGTGCATCTGATCAAATTCTGTAACTGGCTTCCCGTGGGCTGGGCCCAGGGGACAAGCACAGAGAGTCATCCAGAGATGCTGCCTGCCCTCATGGAGCATATAGGCCCAAGGGGAAAACAAAGAACCACCCAGGCCAGCTTCCAACTGTCACGGCTCTGTCTGTGTTTTGGAGGACCAAGAGAGACTAGTTTGAGTAAAGAATTGGGCCTTCTCAGATGCAAGGACAAGCCATATGCCCCTGTCAATTTGGCTACAGGAATCTGAGGCACAGCCATCAGACATGTACAAGGAGAGACACCATCACACAGAAGTTAAGGAACAGAGACCTGGGCCCAGACTACCTGTGGGTAGACCCCCGGTCACATTATGCTGTGTGCTAAATGAATCTCTCTCCACCTTGGTTTCCTCATTCACCAAAAGGGGATAGAAATAGTGTCTCCCTCCTAGTGGTGGTGTGCAGATTTAATGAGTTTATGCATTAAAGGGCTGCTAAAGGACGACGCGGAGTAAGTGCTGTTATGTAAGAGCACACTAATGTTCGTATCCTGGGAACCCAAGGACTGAGTCGGGTCGGGCTGGGGCAAGAGAAGTAAAGGAGCCTTGATCCTTCTTTGCCCAGAAGCCAGAGCCTCACACACTGAGGATGCAGGAAGTGGGCCCTTGAGCTGAGGATACAGTCCGAGGAGCTTGATGCATGGACAAGAGGGTGTCTCCATAAAAACTGACTCTCAAGAAATGAGCTGGTTCCTTTTCAAATGTCATCCTCCTGTCAGTGACAATCATTTATCCCCACACTCTCTGCTCCTACTGTCCTGGTTTCCTTCTCTCTCCCCTCCCTGCTCCTCAGATTCCAAACTAAGGCCAGTGGCATCCAACCTCGAGGCCCCAGGTATGCCGAGGGGACTTTCATCAGTGACTACAGTATTGCCATGGACAAGATCCGCCAACAAGACTTTGTGAACTGGCTGCTGGCGCAGAAGGGGAAGAAGGGCGAGTGAGTCATGACACACGCCCCCTCCTGCTCCCCGGGCCCTAAGTGATGCACAACGCCAGGTGGCGCCTTTCACTTAGGTGACGATGGGAAGCCGGACAGCAGGGTGGCCCTGCCCAGACCCTGGATCAGGCAACAATCCAGTCTGGGGTTGGGAGTAGGGCAATTTCCCAATCCTTTTCTTCTAAGGGGAGGAGTCGGGGAAGACGTGTGGGGCTCACAGAGAATCCCTGGGGGCCTGGGGATGAGGGAAGGAGGAGCTGACCTGCTGCCAATGGCATTTGGTGGTGGCCACTTCAGACTTTGGAAACAGTAAACTCCATGTTTTCCTTCTCTTTGCCAAGTCTCTTTCCCTGCTCTCGCTGTTTGGTCAGCAAGGTAGATTCTGAAAAGCTGCTGCTGATGAGCAGTGAGGAGGTTGAGTGGAGAAAGAGCTCTGCTCCTTGGATTGAGGTACCAAAAGACTGGAGCTTCTTTGGACTGGAGGACATCTGGAGTCTTCCGAGCCCCACCCGCTCCCTAATCTTTATTTTACCAGCTGGAAACACAACATCACCCAGAGGGAGGCCCATCAATCTAACAGGAAGGAGGAGGCGAGGGAGCAGCAGGGGTGAGTCAGCTTATAGGGGAAGGGGTGGGGGTGGGTCAGGAGGCCCCACCGCACTGTTCCATCTCCCAGACTCCGGAGCCCTGCAATTCCCAGATAAGCATCCCCTTCTGAAACTCAGATTTCAAAGAGGGGTCTTCACTGGACTCCTGGAGGTCAGCGCAGGCCTAAGGGAGAAGCTTGGGGGAATGGAGGCAGGGTTTTGGGGCCAGAGTTTCTAAGACTGATGACTTAGTGTAGAGTCAAGGAGCAGGGTGCAAAAGAGACCTCAGAAACTGGCTTCTCCACTTATGCCTGCCAAACTTTGGGAAGGCTGTTTGTGGAACAGGGACCCTCTCAAGTCCAGTCCCCTCAGATCAGTTACCCCATCTCTGTAGGAAGGTGAGGAATCAATGAATAGTCCCCAGGTAATCTCTTGGGATTTTAGAATGCATTCTGGGACACTGGTAGAGTTGGATGGGTGGGCTGTCTCTCACCAGAATTGTCTTTGCTTGTGTTGAAGAGCCTCTATTCCCTGGCAGACAGATCTGGGTGGAGCTTTGGAAGCTGAGATAACTAGAGGCAGCTGTGTTGACTCGTACCCCTCACCCCCGCCCCACCCAGTCCCACCACCTTGGAGTCCCAGGCCCTATATTTACTCTCTCTGGGTGGGGCCCAGGCTAAAACAGCCTGCCTGAGGCTTCCTCCTTTGCAGCTCCCTCCCCAAGAACCCCAGTGATGAAGAATTGCTAAAGGACTTACTGCTTCAAGAGCTGCTGGCCTGGATGGTGGATCAGAGGGAGCTCTGCAGGCTCAGGTGGGAGTCTGATGGCTTTAGGGGTCTTCCATAGTGGTTGTGAGCTTGAACTTGGAGGTCACAAATGGGTTCAGATCTTCACCCCAACACATGCTGACACATTACTTAGACTCTCTGAACCTTGGGGATTTCATGAAAATCAGGGCTATTTAAACCACTTCATGGGATGATAGGGCTTAAATAAGAGAATGCAGGGAAAGGGCTGAGAGCAACGTCTGTGGAGTTTGTATTGGTGACCAGCATTATTACCACTTGCACTTCCTCAGTCTCCTCCAGGTGAGATGTTGCTCTCACCTCCCCTGCCCACTTGAGCTGAACTGCCCAACCAGTCCTCAGCTCTCCCTCTGTACCCTTGTGCCACAGCACCTCAGTGATGGAACCCTTAGAGTGAGAGGCATGTTGCCCTTCCCTGTGGCTGCTGCTGGTCTCAGTGGTCCTTGAATCCACCTCATCAACTAGGAAATCTTTCTATCTGCTTTGTCCCAGAAGCAAGGGATGGCTCCATATCATGGAGAGACCTATCCAGCTGAAGGGTGGGACAAGACACTCATTTAAGACGTAGACACTGAGGCATGGAAACCACAACATATTCAGATTTTGATGCTGGGAAGTTGAGGGGTTGAGGGAACAAATCTGGGATGGCTTCCTGTAAGAGGGTTAGAAGGAAGAGAGGAATATGACCAGAACAATGGAGAAGAGAGTATGACAAAATCTCCCTAGGAACGTGGGTGGTGATAGTCTCTGTTCTTCTTTGAATCATTTTGATTACATACAACTGAAAAGGTAATTTGGAGATAGGAGCAGCTGAACTATGGCTGGGTGCCAGGATAAATTTACTTTGCTGACTCCAAGCTGATACTGACCCTCCTCTCCACTACTCCTCTCCTCTTTCCACAGGTTTCAGTGACTCTGACCAAACCCAGCTCAGGACTGGACTCTGCCCTTCCCTTACACAGCTCCCATCTCAGTTCCACTCCACGATACCCAAAAGAAGCCAAACTAAATTTAAGCTGAAATAAATCTCTGCACCCATTGTCGAAACCTATTCACTTGTCTAATAGAGCACTAACTGTATGTTTGTGTGTATGCGCACCACCCAGTGAAAAGGAGATATGGCTCTTGCCCATCTGTTAGTTCATCCTTTATTTCCACAAACACTTACTGGAAACTTAACACAGGCAGGGACTATGCTGAACACTGAGTACACAGCAGTGATGAAAACAGACACAGTCCTTGTCCCCAAGGGGTTTACAGTCCAGTGGTGGAGACAGACCTCAATCTTGAAACACACAAACACATGAATAATCACATAACATGAGAAGTTATGTGAAGAAAGACTAGAGGGCTATGAGAGAGGACAGAGAAGCCTTATGTAGATGGAGTGGGAAGTCAGGAGGGCCTCTCTGAGAAAATGATATTCAAGCTGAGTGAGATCGGAAGGATAAAATGGCCAAAGGGTGAGGGGAACCTTAATCATATTAGCCAGAGTTATTGTTCCACAGCAAAATGGGCAACGGAGACAAGAGCCCAAGTGGAGACAAGATCCCAAGTAGAGACAGAGCAGGTGGGCAGAGGCAAGGTCTCGAAGGCCATGGTAAAGCTTTGGGATTTTATTCTCAGTACAAGGGCAAGTCCTTGAAGGATTTTAAGCAGGGGCAGCTCAGAGAAGATCTATTCATGTACCCAAATAATCACACTGATGACAGTGAGAATTATATGGAGATGAAGAGGTATGAAAGTGGAAGAGGCTCTTGCAGAATTACAGATTTCACACTAGGCAGATGGCACTGAGGGGGAAGGGAAGTGGGCAAACTCAGTTTGTCCGAAAGTCAATATCTCTGTCTTTGGGTGTTTAAAGGCTTTTCCTCCTCAGCGTGCTGCCTTCTTCCAATGCTCTGCACCTACAAGAGGCAAACCTGTCTCTCCTTCCCCCTTAGTTTGGGTTATCTTTACCTAGACTGTCCCCTCCCCACTCCCCTTGATCTAGTCATATTTTAGCAGACCAGAGTCAACATACCTAGACGCAAATCACTCTCTAGTTCTGTGACTTGGGAAGTTAGTTCCTCTCTCTGAAGCTCAGTTTTCAGTCTGTAAAAAGATAAAAAATCCTCACAGGATTGAAGTAAGTATTAAGATAATGCCTGGTACAAGGTAAGTGGTCAATAAAAAGTTAACTTTTGTTATTATTAGTATTATTTATACACCTGAATCTCAATTTAAAGACACAGGGGTATTATTCCTTTAAAACCAGGGAGTGGCATGCTGGACTGGCTGAAGGGCTGGGCCAAGAACCTAAAGGAGCAAAGTGTGGAGGGTGTAAAACAATGGTGAGGACTGGACTGTGAAAATGGACTGGACAAGACACGCTCCCCTAAAGGCATTCTGATGACCAGATGAAACGCTCCTGAGAACCGAATTTGCCGAGGGCTGCCAGTCTGCATCTCTTCCAGCTCTAACATTTTGGGTTTCCTCTCCTCTACACCTCTAGAGTTCTAAGAGGGTGTACCACATATTTAGAGCATGGCTTTGCTCAGAGGATATATTTTAATGATTTTCCATGATAGAACTGATTGCACTGGGAAGAAGTTCAGATCTGTATTTCTGAAGTCTTGGGTGTATCTGAGACTCAGTGAATCAGCAAGCGTTATTTAAAAAAACTTTGAGAGGGGAGGGTATACCTCAGTGGTAGAGTGCATGCCTAGCATGCACAAGGTCCTAGGTTCCATCAGCACTATCTGCATTAAATAAATAAATAAATAGATAGATAAATAAATAAATAAATAAATAAATATCCTCCCCCACCAAAAAAAAAAAAAGAGAACAATTTTGTACAACCTCTCACTATGGGCCAGGCATTGTGCTCAGGACTTTCTAAACATGTTTTTTCAACTCTTGACTTTTAAAAACTTTTTTTGGTTTTTGTTCAAATGCATAAACATTGTTAAAAAAATCATGGCGATCTCATTTAAAACCTCATCACAATCCTTTAAGATCATGATAATCTAATAGTTGCTAACTGTGCACGACACTGCCTCCATGAGGCAGAGAATTAAAAGCCCATGCTCTTAGCCACCTTGCCACAAGGCCAGTGACTCACTAGTTACTTAAAGCAAGTGAGAGCATCTGTGATGTTCAGCATTCAATGGTGCTCTGAAGCAGAGTGCTCCTGAATGCCATTGTGAAATTGTCAGGAATGTTGTGAGCAGGTTGTAAAACCACTGATAGCCTGACACAATAGCTCGAAAGGCCATGGTTGGAGTATTTACACCCTGGAAATTGGCAAATGTTATAAATCAGAGCACCTCCCGCCCAGCCTGGAGAGGTGATTGTTAAACATTTACCAGCACACTACAGGTCAGTATACTTTCTCTTAAATTATAGGGGAGAACAAATGTGTCTGAATGAGGGAATACACATGTCTGCTTGAAGGTGGTAACGAGGTTTATTAAGGGCCATGTGCCTCAGGGAGTTGAGCAGGTATGTGTGCATTTGAGGGATGAACAGTCAAATCTGAGGTCATGAGTGTGAGTGAGGGACAGTGTATACCTTAACGGATCATACACTAAGTCAAAGAGTGAGAAATGAAGCAGGTGTGTCTAGATGGTGTCAGTGAGTACCTACGGGACTGAGTTTTTGTGTTAGAGAGTGGTGTAGTGAGAATATGTAAATGTGAGTTCAGCATGTATGAGAGGATGTCAGATGTACGTGTTGGAGGGGACAAATCTGTGTCTGAGGAAGTAAGTTTGTGTCTAAGGGGGCTTATGTTATCTGAGTTTAGTGTCTGAGGGTATCTTTGAGAGTGAATCTGAAGGTACAATTCTGAAAGTCTGAATAACTGTTTTAGCCTTGGTCCTCACATCCAGTAACATTAGATTTTGCTTCAGAAAACAGAAAAACACAAAATAACAGTGCTAAATATCTTTAGCAAGATAGAGCACTATTTCTCTTTCTTGTAAATATCCAGAGGCAGGCAGCCCAGGGCTAGTATGACATCTCTGCTCCATGAAATCTTCAGGGTCCCCGACTCACCAGGTTCACAGCTCTATCATCTCTCAAGGCCCAAAATGACAATTAAACTATCTCGCCACCAATATTTGCTCTTTTTATCCTTTTACCTTAAGTCTCTCTGGTAACATTATTCACATTTATGGTTTCTCCTTGATCTGTAGCCCAGCACAGCTCTTTCTGTAGAACTTCATACCAGTACATCTAAATGACAATTAACCATCTCTTCTGTGATGTCCCACAAACCTCAATTTCAACATTTTCCAAAACCACTCTTAATTATTTCCCCAATTTCTTCCTGTGGTCTCTTCCCATCCCTGTCTTTGAATGGCACTACCTTTTTGCCCAAGCCAGGAAACTGAGCATCCTGATAACTTTTCCCACCCATTCTGCCCTTATCTTATCAGCTTTACCATTCCACCTTCTTAATGTGTCCTGAATCAGTTGCATTCTCTCTATCCTTACTGACACTGTCTTAGTTCTGGCCCTCATCATTTCTACTTTGGATTGCTACAACTGACTTAAAATTAAGTCACCTATTTTCCTATGGCAAAAACTTGGTATTATTGCTCCCTGACTCTAGAAACCTCCATTTGCTCCTTTTTTGTTAGACTCAACAATGCTATGGAAATCACCTATGGAGCTTCCTAAACACACAGATTACTAATTCCACCCTAGATTTGATGAATAACAAACATCGCTGATATTTATTTACATGCCAGGGATCAAACTAAATGCTTTGTTGTATATTTTCTGACTTAATCCTCACAACAACTTCATGAGTTATCACGAGGTATTACCCTTTCACAACTGTAGAAAGTGGAACACAAGAGATTAAGGAATTTGTCTTAAGTTACTGGACCATATGTCGTGGACGCGAGCTATGGATATGGAGCCAGGCAATCTAACCCCAAAGGCCAAATTCTCAACTGTAAGGCCTTCCCCAGTCAGAAGCTTTGCGTGTGATTCCTACAGGTAAGCTTCATTAGAGTGGAACGGATTCTGTTTTATGCTCAATATGGAACCCTCCGCGGCCAACTCGGCGCGTGGCACGCTGTAGACAGCCAGTGAGCAGTGGCAGACCTCCGGTCGGAGGCTGCGATGGCGGTGGGGGGACAGTCACGGAAAGCTGAGAGGGTCCGACGCGTTCACGTGGGTCTAAAGCACCGGGTCGCATCAAGTTTTGCGGACCGTTGCCGGAGTGAGAGGCGGAGCCGCCAGGCCCCTGGCAGTGGGCGATGTCACCCCGCGGCCGGAAGTCGGAGAGAAACTTCCGGCGCGCGGAGATGACGCACGGCCCGCGCTTCCGCGTTGGGGA